TTATTGGAGGATCACAAGGCGCTGGTGGAGGTGTATGGCCATGTCGAAAAGATCATCAGCATCCGTGGCCCTGGGTCTGTCGGTAATCGCGGTGGGCGTAAAGGTTTCCGCCCTCCGCCCCCAGAAGAAGGACACGGCGGTCTGAGCACAGTTATGCTCGAGATTCGCGGCGCGTCGGTGGATCCCGAAAGGCGGATGAAGGCCATCGAGGCGAGCCAAAAGAGTCGAGAGAAGGAGTTGGCCAGCAGATCGGACGAGATGCAGGCTGAGCTGAGCGACTTTGTTGCCGGCAAGAAGCTCAAGATGACTGGCGGGGCAGAGGAGGCGGAGCGGGTGAGGCAGAAACGAAGCGACATGACGCTCAAGGCTATGTTTAATGGGGGCACGGGTGGGGTTACTGAGATGGGCGCGTTTGGTTCGCCCGATCCCTCATGAACGCTTTCATTGTCTCCCTATGTCTTTCACCACATCGTACAAATTCTCACTGCATATTTATCTTCCACGAGTACGCTCTCCTGTATCTTATGTAATTCCTTGCTTGAGATGGTTTCTTCTCGTCGCGCGGGGAGATAATTGATACTTTCGTTCATGTGTAGATCTCGCGCACTGCCTAAAAAACGTCAGAGCTTGGTCTGATGTTCATAGAATTGATAGCGACCTTTCTTTCTTGATATTCATTCCGTCTCATGATCTCCAGGCCTGCAATCCTCGGGAGGTGTGGATGCAGAGCCGCGTAGTCTACGGATGGACTTGAAGGATCTGAGGGATTTTGTTCCGGCTACGAGGCGAGGCCAACGAGATGGAGTCCTGTTATCGCGTGAGCAGAAATTTGGAGCGAGATGAGAACAAGTCGGACGAAGTGGCCTTGTCCCGAAACTGGTCTTGAATAAGCTGAGCCTCTTCACCTGGTAGACGGACATGCCTAGGGGTGAAGACGATGTATGATAAACGGAAAGGCAGCTGCATGGATCTGGTAATGGGCAGATAGCGGGGCACTGAGACGCCACGATCGCATTTTAGCTTGGTCCCACGACGAAGGGGGGCAACTGCCGAGCACGAGTAGACAAAGGAAAGGCTGAAGACAAAGTAGAGCGTAAATGATTGATCCGCTTTGGGACGAAGGCCAAATTCGAAAACGAGTTCTTGGCTTGAAGCGGACAACTTGAACGCGGGCAAGGATCGAAGGGAAGCGGGCATAAAAGAGGACCGTGACGGCCGGAGAAAACAAAGGAGTTTCTTGATATACAGAAAGACTCAGAAAGGGAGAAAAAGATACACTGAAGGGGAGTCGAACCCCTGCCGCTTGCTTATCGCAAATATTGGAAGGCAAGCATGATAACCGCTTCACCATCAGTGTTCTATCATCATGTGTATGGGTGAGGGATTGTAGGAAGAGCTTGTCGATGATAGCTGATGGCGCTGATGCGATAGTTGATGGCTCGCGACCGGGAAAGAGACATTTCCACTCGGAGCTAACTTCCAGTATGTTGGCGGCCCTCGAGTCCTGCGGTGTGCACTGTCAACAGCACACTTTTTGAAACATGCCGAAGTGGAAAGTCGGTTGAAGTTCATTTGCCAGTTAGGCGATTCAACTAATATACATAAGACTCAGGAGGAGTCAAGGAGGAGTAGTAAAGGACATCGTAAAGGATTCAAGTGTTACTTTGGGCGCCGTCGAAATATTAGTCCATCCTGTAGTTGTTCCCAAAGCAATGGGTAGAATGAAGAAACTGAAAGTACAAATACATTACTCGCCATCCTCAAAGTCTGCGAGTCCAAACCCTCCACCCAACGGAGCAAACTCCACGCGAGTCACCACCGCATCCTGTCCCTCGTTTACTTCGTCCATCTCCATTTCTGTAATGTCTGCGCCTGATGCCCGCGCCTCTGCAATCTCTGGGCTCGCTGCCTGCACCTCGAACCCGACGCTGAGAAACTCCAAGCATCCCGACAAGCAACCTCGCCACTTCAACGGCACGCTCTCGCCAACATCGACGCCAGCCACGACTCTTTCCCATGTGTATCGTTCTTCCGCCGGAGTTACGAATACAGATTCTGTGCCATGGTGTGGAGACGGGCACAGTCCCAGACTCGGAGGGCCCTCGTCGGCGGGGTACACCGAGAATGGGTCCACGTCCACGCTCCCCTGGTGGATGGCATCGAGGATTTGTCGCAAATGGGGTGGAACCACTTGGCGAAACTCTTTCTTTCCCGACCCTGACCCGAGCCTGATATCACCCTCGCAGAGCGGAAGCTCGTAATATTTCGCGATGCGGCGCTCGGCGGGGTTCGTCGTGCTGGCCAAGCCAGAGTCCGTCGCAAAGAGAGCGCGAAGGCTGAGCTCGACCAGCGGGGGAACGCGCGGGAAATTGTGGGTGGTAGGGGAGACTGCAGTCCGTCCCCGAGAGTTGGCGCGCCGCAGTTCCCCTTTGGACCGAAAGGGATTTGTCGGCGCCTCAAGGAATGGATTCGGAAAGAGGTTGAGGACCTTTAATTTCTTCATGCCGCACATGAGCTCCGCTGGGAGGTACTCAAGCTGATTGGCTGAGACATTGAGCGTTTCAAGATTTTCCAAGGATCCGATTACCGGAGGCAATGTTCTGAGCTTGTTGCGCACTGAGATTGATGTTGTTTAATTTAATTTTTTACTGGATGAAAAAGGGCTCACTCAAACTCAACACCGTCAACTTCTCGAGATGCAAAAGCCGCGTTGGGATTTTGGATAGCTGATTGCTCTGCAGATATAAATGTATGTCGTGGCGCAACACGCCCGAGGGCAATATAGCCGGCGCGGTTACTGACCGAGTGAATTGCCGTGGAGGCGGCGGCGGGGGAGCGAGTGGAATTTGACGTGGAGCATTCAAACGCTCGGCCTCCTCCGACGGTACGTAGAAGCGCTCCAGCTCCTCGACGAACTTTGCAGGCATGGCGGTCAGATTTTGGTTGCTTCACGGGAGTCAGCAGACGAACCACCCTGGAAGCTGTCGACTCACTCGAGATTTACAATCCCACTACCCCCGTCAACCATCCTGCTGCTCGCCTCATCCCATATTGCGTCCTCCCTCTCTTCCTCGGTTGGTTTCCAAGAACGCGCGGGCGTGGCTACGACGGTCTCCAAGGATGCCTCTGGGCCCAGTACTCGCTGCTTCTTCCTCCGAGAACGGGACGGCGACGACGGCGATAGTTGTCGAGCCTTTTTGGCGCCTTTTTCGTACTGAGGGGGCACCCACGATCCCTTTGAGGCGGCGAATGGGTGCGTGGGAGGCGACGCGTTTGTGGCTGAGGATTGTCCGTCCTCGACCGAAATGCAATCCTCGTCGTGGTCTGTCGGGCCAGGAGAAGATGCCGGGGAGGAGTCATTGTACGCGGTGGGGGATGAGGGCGGTGATGAGGAAGGAGCAGAGAACCAGCGCTGGTCATGTATGTCGAGCATTAGGAGAATGAGCCTCGTCAACAACGATTGCCGCTTGAGATACGGTCACCTGACTCGACGCGTCTGAAACCCAAAAATATATACAAGCAGAAGTTACACATTTGAGAACATAATAAGTATCTTATGGACATTCGACTCTAACGCTTCTGAAAGTGGCCGTGATTCTATCTGGCGTGCGGCTCCAGTCGATCGGCCCCTTCGCCCACTTCGCCGTTCCCGGAGAGCCGCTAGCATCCCAAATCCCTGCGAGAATAAATATCAAGAAGTAGTTCGTATACTAATAGTTGGATAGAAATACCGAGCTGGAGGCGCATGGTATGCGTTGGGTAATGGGAGAAACCATTTCTCATGCACTTGTCTTGAAATTCCTAGGCTTAGTTTCCGCGGTGAGAAGTGGAATATGCAACTCACCTTTGGCGAGTGTTCGGACAGCCTTCCCATCGAGGCTCCAAAATATCTTCTCCGGGGTCACCTCAATGCTATAAGGATGCATTTTGACGATGCTGTCAACCTTTTCCTTCTCACTGAAAACACCATATTCGGGCCCAGAGTCGCGTGGATCGGAAACGAAAAGGTTGGTTTGCCACTCAGTGGGCTCGCTGCAGACAAATTCGATGTCTATTTCGTCGTCGGACGTATCGCCTAGAGGGAATTTACATTTCAATCAGTCCAGGTAAATGCGCAACATACCTATCAAGATTCCTGCGACAATTACGCCGGGAATGGTGGGGGACAAAACCTCAAATGTGACCTTGCCAAAGCTGATGAGGAATGAGTGAGAATTTGGGAGCCGTGGTATCCCCCGGCGCACCTCAGAATAAAAGTCGAATTAATCGTGGATCCACGCCCGACCTCGTCGTTCACGCCGGACTCGGTAGTGACGTTGCCGTCTGGCTTGTCCAGATACATCTCAAGCCCGCTATCTGTCAATGCGTATGAACCCTTCGAGCTGATAGGCGCGAAATTGGAGTAGAAGTCGGCCGAGGTCGACGGGCCGAAGGTAATGTGGAATGGTTCACACTGCGTGGCCTCGCGACGTTCCGGCGAGGTATGACAGGATTGGGCCTGGGCGAGATAAATGAGCGTAAGAAAAGTAGTGAAGTGCATTGTTTCGGCGTTTCGGTGACCGGAAAGGGGGTCTTGAAAGAAGAACGCGATCATGTGATTTCGTGAGCTCACCCATAGTATGAGACACGTCATTCCGGTCACCCAAAATACCATTTCTCCAGCGACTTGGCTCAAACTCAGTTTTACCGTGATATTCAATCCGTAGTCGACGATTTAATACTGGGCCGCGTAAGCGGGCAGATAAGAAAGCTTTTCTTGACGTCGAGTTTCCGTATGTTCCACTCCGTTTCAATTTTTGTCTCGCTTCACTTCTCTTCACTATGTACCTGGCAGGCTGGCGCCAACTTGAACATGCCAAAACGGGAAGTCGATCAGCGGATACAAACTTAGCCAAGCCATCAACTATCGCATCAACCACTGATCGACTTCCCGTTTTGGCATCTTCGACTTGGCGACCTCTTGCCATTCCCAATGTCCTGTTAGCATGGAAAAATCGCTGACACTGACGGTGAAGCGGTTATCATGCTTGCCTTCCAATCTCTGCAACAAGCAAGCGGCAGGGGTTCGCCTCCCCTTCGGTGTCTCGCGTTCGCTTTTGTCGCGGGCCGCGGTCTACTAAGCGAATTTTCGCGGATTCCAATATCCTTTGACTGCCTTTGACATTTTGAGTTGCTGCATTTGTGAAATCTTCCCAAGGGCGAGAGAGCTGCTGAATTGATTTCTGGTCTTCCTCGACGGATTAGGAAGGGGTGACTTGCAAAGAATGACGCGGTCATGTGACGAGTTTAAAGCGAGTGTTTTTTTCTTAGCCCAGTGACTCGATAATTCTTCCAAGTCCAGCATTTTTTGGCGATCTCCAGGGGTTGATTATTCCAAGAAGGCCAGAGGTCCAAAATCTATGTCAGGGCCATGGCGTTTCGTTAGTTCCTTGTCCGAACCTTCGCATCTGCTCCTCGGCCGACCGAATGCATCGCTGGAACAGGCTTGTCCCTATTTATTTCGACCTCCTGATCCAGCCTCGCCGACAATTTACGATACGTCTGTGAATCGATCCTCCAGCCACTGACAGCCGACGTCCAGGATTCCAAAATCACCCCCTCTTAGTCGCGTGTACAATTTTTCAATTACAATTTTCCGAAACACGCCGCCTGTGCGGCGGCCCTGCGACTCGGTGCCTCGGTCCGATGAAGTTACGGCATCTAATCGGCCAAAGTTGATTCCGCAACGTTCACGATTGCTGTCCCGCTCCGACGCAACGGCCCTGGTGCCCCTATCCCACCAGCAGAGTCCTACACGTTTCACACCGGGCGTAACGTGCTTGGTGAATCACCTCGCTGCTCGCTGTCGTTGTCGCTGAGGGCCCATGGGGTGATTCTCGTGGACGCCCGTCCCGCCGCGGTTGATAATCCCCTCCGCCGCGTCTTGATGATCCTACACGACTTCAAAGCTTCAAAGACGCTGTCTGTTTTCTCTGGATTGCCGAACCTCCTCAAACCTCTGAAACCGCCCTATGTACTATAATCCCGATCTGTCTAACGCTGGCACCGGCTCCCCACAAACAACAGCCGTCCTCAATGAACTCCATTGTTCACCCTTGCACCGAGTCGCTCCCATCTCTGCCCGGCATTTCTCTCCACATCTTACAACACCCTATGTAAATCAATACCTCTCGGATCCCGATCCTGAAAAAAAAACTATTGTCCGGACAGTGCTCTGCACCGCTATCACTATCCATAACTATATATTCCGCCCATAGCTCCCTCCGCGCCTGCTTCTGCTTCCGTCCGGCGTCCATCTATCCACTCTGTGAATCACCGTGGGTGCAAGTGGGTGCCAGTGCGGCGTGCCCGCACTTTCTCTAGTCTAAGTCTGTCTGTCGGTCTGTCTGCTTGTCTACGCCGTACGGTCTGTATCCGCTCACTTTGCTCGTCTCGCCATCGGCATCGTCGCTTTACAGTTGAACGTATGCATATGTGATCCACCTCTGCTTGTCTACGCCGTACGGTCTGTACAGTATCCGCTCACTTTGCTCGTCCCGCCATCCGCATCGTTGCTTCGCAGTTGAACATCTGCATATGTGATCCACCTCTGCACCCGCCGGTTAAATTCACCTGCGAACGTTTCAGAACGACACCCACTCGCGCCTACCCACGCCCACACGGGACCGCCGCCGAGAATCAATAGACACTGGCACGAATCGCAACTTGATTCCCTTCCCTTCCGTTCTCGGAGTCGGTGCGGCCTCGCCGAGTTACTGCCCTACAGCCACCCACTATATCTCTGTCTCCGTCTCTGTCCCGGGCTATGCGGGCTGCATATGATTGTGATTGGGATTGGGATTCCCTCCCTCCCGTCACGGTCGCCACTAGCCTATGCATCCATCGACGGATGTGCGTTGGCTTATACATACACACTTACTTACATCCTTCTATCATATCAAATCAACTTGAATCTCTGCCAGTGTTGATGCCCGGCGACCGTCACGGTCGATGCGATGCCTCTTATAATAATAACTTACCAGCCCATGGCCAGCCCAGCCTCTTGTACCGGAAGCAGAACAATGCCTGAGGCCTGAGGTCCGGGTGTCTGTTCGTCCGTTTTCCCGCTGACCGTCTGTTCGTCTATCTGCTGATCCAAGTTCCTTCTCCTTGCTTCGCCTTCGATTCAATTCCTCACGTCGGTCGATGTTAGAAGCTGTACATGTGGGAATCGAATACAACGAGAGCACACAGAAAGAACGGGTTCGAGATGATTGTTCTTGCACGGTGTACACAGGGAGTCACTTCGAACCCTTCACATCGCACATCGCGTTGATATATGTAAATCTACTTTGAGAACAAGGAAGGCCTAGGACGACCGACGCCCACACAGCGTCTCGCCCTTGTTCTCTTTTGTGTATTATGCCAACATTTGGAGGAAGCAACATAATTAAAATTAAACGCGCCCACATGTTCACCTTGCTTATCAGAACGACGCCCTTGTTCTCTTTCGAGTTACTTGGAAGCAACACAATTAACCGCGTCGCACAAGAGAGAAAGACAAAACCACGAGTTTTATTGTCTTTGAGATTAAACATTATCTAGCTAAGTAAGGAGCGTACTACGGTTGGGTCGGCACAGCAAGAGTAGGGATGGTTGGTTGGTACAAGGATGGACGGAATCATGCGTGCGTGCGAAGTGGGTGGGTGCGGAGGTATCAAGTGACAAGAAAAGCGGCGGTTGAGCGGGTGGTAGTGGTACAACATCGAACAGCAAAGTCAATAAATGAGTGGTAAGATTGAAGAAGGTAAAAATACACGATGAATGGAAGTGGTTGTTGGTTGTTGGTTGTAAGTAATGTGAACGGAACGCAGATAGGAAACCGAAACCCAAAGAAAGAATAAGAAATGAGAGCGTCGAGGTCGTTAAATGCAGCGTCAAGCAGATGAAGAAAGCAGGGAACACCAACTAAAAGAAGGATGTAAGTATATAATATGTATACCGAATTTAGTGTAGTGTTGTAGTGTTGGTGGTGGTGATAGTACAGCGAACGACGGGCGTTCTTTTGGTTATGGGTTGATTCTTCGGCGGCCGCAAGACAACGACGATCGACGACGACAAGATACAATACAGCGCGCGTGCGGGCCCGACCTGCGCGGGCGACGGCGCAAAGGCATGAATCTCGTCTGCTGCGTCGTGGGTGGTCGTGTCATGTCGGAGGGGGTGGTGCATTTACAATTCCGTCGGGACCCGCTCGACGAACTACGTCGCGACCTCGATATAGCTCCTCCAGCTCACCCGCGAGCTCTCGTCGTCGTTGTAAAAATCCATGAAGGACTTGAGTCCGAGCTTCGGCTTGCGGCGGCGCGGCGGGGGCTGCTGCACGCTGCTCCCGCGCGAGGACGGTTTGGAGCGCGGGGGCGAGGGCGCGGAACGCAGGTCGCCGTCGTCGAGACGCGCGATGAGCATGATGAGCTGGTCATCGGTCAGCGAGAGGTCGAGCAGGTCCTCCGTGGGCGACGCGACTGGCTCGTCGTCGTAGTCGCTTTCATCCTCGCTGAGACTCATAAAGTTGCCCGATGGCACGACGGGGCGGCGGCCCTCAAGAGCAGCGAGGGCGCGACTGCGGCGTGTGCGACGGTAGCGCGTGGAGACGGTGGAGGTGGTCGCGGAGGCGCGGGTCGCCTGAGAGGCAACGGAGGGCTTGCGCCTCGGGGCGGCCTGGATGGCAATGGGTGTGGGGGTGCGGGAGACGGCGACCTGGAGGGTTTGGCTCCGCGGGGAAGAGGGCGCCGAAGGGACACTGGGGAGTGAGGAGACGGGGGCCGGTTTAGGCGAGGGCAGTGCGCGGGGTGAGCTCAAGCTCGTTGGTGACTTTCGCGGACTCAGAGGTGACTGGGGAGGGAGGAGACAGGGCGAGTCGGGGATTTGGCTGGTGGGCTGTGTCAGTCGCGTCAATGAGCAAGAGCGTGGGACGCACAAGTCTACTGCGAAAGGTGGTTCACGAGAGTAGCGCTGGGAGGGCTGCTGTTGACGACGATTACGGCGACTGGAGGGCTTGCGGATGCTATGGGAGCGGAGGGACTGGGACTCTGCGAGGTCGAGGGACAAGAAGGAGCGAAACTCGTCCTTGTCGCGACGGGCCTGGAGGGTGAAGTAGAACATGGATGCATCGTCCGCGTAGTACGGCGGGGAGTCTGTTGGAAGAGAGCCTCTGCGAGTGCCGAGGTCGAAGGAGTCGCGTGAATGGAGGGAGGCGGGGGAGGAGGAGGGCGGGGACAAGAGGCCACTGAGGATGAAGGACGGGTAGGCGGACAGGTTTGGTACAGTGTCGTTCATCTAGAAGTTAACGAGGAGGGTGAAGTTTGGTGAGGCGATTCCGGTAACTCTTGTTATAAAAGTGAGCTGAAACGCGAGTGTCACCGATCTCAGATTTCTTTCTCACGCTCCGCTATTATGAACGTGTTTCTTCAACGGCATTTTGTCACACATTCCTTGCGCCGCCATTTCACCGTCCAAAGTCGGCCCACACTACTTTTATTTATTTAATTAACGCTGTTGCGTGTGCTAAGACTTGGCCTGTTTCAACCTCCATTTTTATTTCCGCAAATGCCCGCAGCCTGTTTGCGGGAGCGCCGCCTCAGTCCATTTCTTAATTCGGGTGCGAGCAAAGGCATGTTGCCGCCTGCAGGTAACAACGCGGCAGCGGCGCAGCGTACTACGACATTAGAGAAGAAGAAGAACCCTCTCGAGCGTTCAAACGGGGATACACTTTACCGGACCTCGTAAAAATTTAAAAAACGCTGCGGCTCCGGCGGAAGCCTGTGCTCACTGTAATACGCGCAAATCATTGGTCCCGCCCGCAACGCCATCGATATTTACCCCCCCTTTGCGGCAATATCCTCTGCGACTGGGCGACAGTCGCCTCGTGTTCGACAGCATTTTCCGCTTACCGCTTAGCGCCTTTGTTTTCTTTCTTTTTCCTTGACGATCGTGTGAGCCTACCGACGCTTGCCGACGTCACCCGCCAGCCGGGCGCCCGTCCGGCGAATTAACAGCGTGAACTGCACATTTCACCATTGCGCCAACTCCGCAAACGTATTCC